GCCGCTGAAGCCGGGTCCAACAAAAGGATCTCCCAAGGGTAACTCGCAATCTTCGTCGGCGACTACAATATTCTGACGCGCCCGAATCGTTTTTAACAAAAAGGAGGTCTCCCAGGCATGGATGGTCGGAAGGACGTGAAGGATTACGTGAACAAGCATCGTCGCTCGTATACGGTTGCAGCTGGAAGCGGGAACGTGCTCCCATGAACGGATTATCCGCACCAGGGTTTGTGCGCGGGGGAGTCCGGCTTTGCAAAGGCGTATGCGCTGACGACAAGGCGCCCAGCTGCGAGGTCATTCCAGTGGCGCCTCCCGTGGAACCTACCGCTTGAGTCAGAACTCACTAAAGACAGACAACACGAAAACAACAACTCTAAAGGCTCGTTCACACTCTTGCAACCGAGTACGACCGAGAGAGACAAGACCGGTTTTTAATCCTCTTACGACTTCTTCGGACCAGGCGCGCTGCTGCGGAGCTGGTCCTAAGACGTGTTAAAGGATTAAAAACTGGTCTTGTCTCTCTCGGTCGTACTCGGTTGCAAGAGTGTGAACGAGCCTTCAGAGTGCCCCCGTCTTTCACGGTTGCAGCTGGAAACGCGGCGCCTGCGTGCATTACCGGATTAGGTCAATACCCGACCAAGGCTTGTTCAGCATCTCTTCCTGCGTTCGTGCGTGCCGGTGTTTTGTTTTGGCTGCTCGTCGCCACCTTGGCCCAGGGACGCCTTCCTGAACAAGGGGGCCCGTTGTTCGGGAATGCCATTTCATCTGCCGGCGTCTTATTCATTTCTGCGCTCAAGCTTTCGTGATGGGCAAATTTAGCACTATATAATTTCGAAAGTAGTTAGTAATTTGAGTAGAAGTTACCTGAAAAAAGTAGCTAAATTAAACTACTAATTACCCAAATCAAGTTGTAATTGAAAGTTACGAAGTTACTCGAAAAAGTAGTTAAACTACAGTAGTTTGAGTAGAGTAGTTGAACTACGTCCAAGTCTGGAAAAATGTGACTCGGGATTCAGAAGAACGCGATTTGTTATCTATCGATTCGTCAGCGCTTATCGAGGACGTTTAGGTACTTTAGAAAGTGGTATCGTGCCAAGCTAAGTTACACCGGAGAAGGAAGACGACATCCCGCACTACTTGACAGTCCCACACTGAATCGTCTGCAGGTTCAATAGCTGGATGTCCTGCTGGATGCACGAGGTTGGCGTGACATTGGCCAGCACCCGAGCTTGATTGTAGACAATGGTCGACGCATGGCGGTAGGTGACGGTCGATACGTTTTCGCTCGTTTGGATAGAATAACGGTAAAATAAATTTAAAGTTTTTTTAACAATAAAGCTAGGCACCATCGCAACTAAACTTTGTAGTTCAAATTCTAATTTAGCCTAACAAAAGAAGTACAGAAGTGTAAGATTAAACTAGACGCCAAACGATTGAGCTCAGGGCGAACACCAGTCCTGCAGCTCGTGGTCATACCAGCACCTTCAAATGAGATAAAAAGAATGCGTCAAATTCTCTGACTGAGGAGAAACTGCCTCACATTAGAGATCTTTCTGGTGTCAATCTGGCACGGACAAGAATTGTCCGTGTCCTGTCGGACGCCAGGAACACTCGTACGAACCTGAGTGGTGGTAAGCGCGCTGCGTTGAGTGATCTCAAATCGGGCAAATCCATCGTAATCCTATCTGCTGATAAAGGTGAAAGCACTGTTTTGTTAGACGGGAAAGATTATAACGGCAAAATGTACAAGATTTCAAATGACCCTTTGCACTTTTTCTTTTTTAAGCTGTGATCCCAGGGCGAAGTTCGAAAGGCAGCTTGTGGATCGTCTCGGTCAGACGTTGAACGGCCGTCTTTTTTAGTCGGACGGTAGGGTGTTTGGCCCCTATCCATCGCGGCCAGTGCTGACTGATCTGTTTTTTCATATTAAGCCGGAACAAACTTTTTTTGACATATTACTTCCCCCGGTTTTTGGACTATATACTTGCAAATCACAGAAAATTGTAAAAAAAAAAAACGGACAACGTTACACGGGTAAATAAATCGTGTAAACAACAATGCGCCGCGTGTGCACGCGATCGCGTTGCTAATATGTTGCCACCGGCACAGGAAATTGGTCTTTAGTGGTCGAGGAGGACGACACAACTTCGGTGGCCTTCAGGTGCAAACATGGAATGAAACAGCCTTGGGAAGGCGGTGTGTCATCCGAGGAACATCCCTATTTGTTTTGTTTTTTATCGCACCTCGGCCCCTTTTTATTTTTATTTTTTTTTCATTTCCTCGTGACTGCCTTATCACCTGTGTTAGTGTCCTCGCTGCAGCGTGAGCTGACTTGAAAGCAAGCTGTTTTCCCATAAGCACTGAACCTGCAGCCTTTCCTTTCAACATAGGTGCCTGTGATTAGCTTTTGTAAACAAGTTTGGCCAGAGAAAAACAAATTTGAGCAAGGTAACCAGACGAAACACGGCGCGTGGCAGCCAATATTGAGTGTTATTGTTAGACTGATACGCACTCGGTTGTTTTATTAACTGTTTACGTACATACTGAGTTGCCTGTGTGGTGAACGCCTGGGGTGGAGTGTCTGAAACGTGCCAAGCTCTATTTTTTATCTCATTGAAAGAGTTACCAAATGGGCAGCTGACGACCGTTTGGGACGGATATTGCATTTAATTGCGTTTATTCAGTGGAAGTGTCCATAATGGCCGACACCTTTCCATTGGTAAACTTGTTAGTAGCCATACACAAAAACAATAGAACGCAAAAACGGTTTCATTCGTTTAAACCCTTTCAAAGTGCTAACTTTAAAATGACAAGGCATAACCGTTAACTACATACATATATCGTAAGCACTTTCTAAATAGGCTTAAATATGTGTGTTGAAAATATTAATGTCCACACAAAATAATTCTAAACGATAGATGTAGTTCTGAATACAACCAGAGGGAAATATGAAGTTAGTATACGTGCAACATTGATTGTACGCTGATGAACATTTCTGCTGCGTACATTTTTATAAGCGAAAATGGGAGATATATGTACACGCGTAGCAAACTATTTAGATATTATAGAAACATAATATAAACGGACGGAAAACGCGGTTTCCATGATTGGCAACAACATTTTAGTTCACTTCGATACCTGTACTTGTGGAGGAAAAGAGGAGGGGGGCAGTAGAGAGGATAAAGGGTGGAAGGGTCACTACGAGTGAGAGGATCAGGGAGTCCTGTACGAGGGAGGGGGGGGGGGGGCATCTCGAACGCTGACGCGGTTCACGGACGCCATAAATCGGGACACAGTGGCGACGGCGGCAATGAGCTCCGGGCTAAGAAAGATAATCTCTTTTGGAAATAGGCTGCTGGAGGGGGCACTTATGTTGTCACTGCTGCAGTACATCAATAATTTCACGTCCTCTCCTTCATCTGTGTCCACCGAACCTGGTGGTCGAGGGGAAGTCAGCGGAGCAGGTTCCACCTTCCGAGGCGTGCTTGACAATGGGAATGACAGCGTGGCTCCGCGGACTTGGCTCAAACTTTCCCTACCTCATTTTCGTGTTCTTGGAAATGGGCGTTGAGGCAGCGCCCCGTTTGTTCCATAAATTTTGCGCCGCAGGACATAGGGACTGAATACACGCATTCCTTGTCGCAACTGGATCTTTATGTTTCTTGACATATTTTAGTTTGACCGGAAACCGTGTTTGTCCGACCGTTTATGTCATATTTCTATAATATCTGAATCGTTTAACCAAGCAGCTCATGCTATTAGTGGAAAACTAGTAACTGCCGACTACAAGATATGGTATAAAATACCACTGTATGGGTGCGAAAAAACGCAATACAAGCCCCGAAATCCATTGGTGGCCATACACATTTATTCTTAATAAAAAATCAGACAATGCACCCCCCCCCCCCCCCCCCCCCGGGGCCGCGTCCCTGTTCAGCGTCTCGTAATAAAATGTTGGGGAGGTGGTCCCCCTTGTCCTATGCCTTACACGAATGGCGAGTGTCTTTTTGTGCTTCTTCTAGTGACATTGCACATGCTCCTTTTTATGCCCTAGTTACACGGGCACACTTTACTGATATGTTGTTGTAACGTCACTTCCCCCAAACTTTCCTCTATGCATCGGCTGAGCAGACGCCACTACCTATATGATGCTTCTTTAACGCAGTTATAATTGTTCGATCAATACTGAGGCCGAACCATTATTGCCTAAATCGAATGACGAGCGTGTTCATTGAAGCATAGTAAAATAAAGATAAGCACGAAGCACAAAGGACAATAAAGACACCTTTAAGATGCACGTGTGTCGTTCTTTTACCTGACAATATGGACTCTCCTACTCGATTGGGAAATTATGGCTGAGTAAAGGGAGGGCGAGAAACATAGGCGGCCAAACCTTACACATCTGCTCGCTCCTTTTCGCCTTTTTTCCTCCTCCCTCAGTCCTTCTCCCACCCGTCCCTCTTTTTTTTTTCCTCCTTTCTCTCCAGCGGAGCGGGACAGCACCAATGTTTCGGAATTTCGGGTAATCAGTGGGCTCCTTATATCCCGTCGCTCTGCTCGTGTCGTGGTGACTGTCTGAACATTTGAACTCTGCAGCGGATATATTGGTCGCTAGTGGCTAGTCGAAACCGAAGGTGCGCGCGACTGGAAGACTTCTCCCCGGTGCCAATGAGTTCCTACGGTTGGTGTCCAGTGACGTGGAAATATCATCAGTCGATTTCCTGCTAACGTGGACAATGGACAGCGACTTTTTTTTTTCTTGCCCGCGATGCCCGTTTTTTTCTCTGAAACTGACTTTGGTCGGTGCCCACCTCTTCGCCGTACACAGTGGTGAGAATGACTTTATCGTCACTTGTGGCGTTAGCGGTTGCCCCTACACTTTCGCAAACCTTCATTCGTACAGAAAGCACCTGTTCCGGCTCCATCGAGATGTTGCAACTGATGGTGACGAAAACGATGAATGCACAGCAGGAAATCAGCACTGTGACGACGTAGTCGAAATGGAGGACCGACTGGATGAAGAAAACTTGAATGAAGAGGCCAGCGAAAACCGACCCTCTACTAGCACTGGAACTCCGACATTCAGCGAGCTCCTGCAGGGCTTGAAAAGAAACCTTTGCTTACTCTCATTCAGTATCACGGAGGAGCACAAAGTAGCGCACAAGGTGGCGGATGCTATTTTTACCAGTATAGAGAATATGATTTCTCATTTGATGGAGCAGTTTGCTAGCTTGATCAGGCATGAGTTGTGTCCTCCTCCGGGCAGACTGCCTTGCGACCTCGAAGCACTTCTAGATGTGAGCTTTGTGAGCCGAATCTTCAGCTCAGTGAAAACAGCTTATCAACGACAGCAGTTTGCTAAGCAGACACTCCCGTACGTGGAGGCCCGTGAAGTTGAAATTGCGAATACTGGGCACACTTTTCAGTACGTGTCTGTTGGAAGCGTGATCAAGAATGTGCTGCAGCAGAAGGATTCCACCAAAATGATGGCTCCAGATCCGACATCCAATCCAAGTGATTGTGCAAGTACAGTCTTCAGGGACTTCAGAGATGGAAAAATCTACAGAAGCTTGGTACAAGACGCCACAGTGATGACAATCTGCATTGTCATCTATACCGACGAACTTGAGATCGTCAACCCGTTGGGCTCCAAGAGAGGTGTGCACAAGTTGACTGTGATCTACTTCAGCTTACTGGACATGCATCCGAGGTATCGAACAAAGCTAAAGCATATATACTTGGCTGTCATAGCAAAGTATGCAGACGTCACGAAGTATAGTTTGAACGCGATCTGGCAGCCGCTGCTAGATGAATTGCATCAGCTGTACACGATCGGCCTCAGGATTGATGGGTTTCCCCAGGCTGTGAAGGTGGTAGTCCTAGCTGTTTGTGGAGACAACCTGTCCCAGCACAAACTGGCTGGATTTACGTGTAGCTTTTCTAAGGGTCGTGTGTGCCGCTTCTGCATGGCCTCTGCTAATAAGCATCACGAGATCACCAGGGAAGACCTGTGTCAAGTTCGGACTTGCGATATTCACCGTGTTCACCTTGCAGCGGTAAGTGTCAACTCTGACCTGAATTGCAAGCTTTATGGCGTTGCTGGAATGTCCCCACTAGCCACATTGCCGTACTTCAACGTGACTGCGCAAATGGCCCCCGACATTATGCATGACCTTTTTGAAGGTGTTTTTGTCTATGTCATTCGTCACGTTTTGAAGGGCCTGATCACTGACAAGGTCCTCGCAAAATCGGATCTCGAGAAAGTCGTTAACTTTCCGTATGGTTATAATGACAGGAAGAACCGACCGGAGGAGATAAGCCCCTCGTTTATCGCTGGGGCAAGCAACCTGAAAGGCACCGCGTGTCAAAAATGGTGTTTGTTTAGACTTATGCCCTTGATATTCTCTTCGTCTGTGCCCGAGGGCAACCCACACTGGGACGTCCTGCTGAAGCTACAGCATGTAGCGGATATCATCCTTGCAGAGCAGATGCCAGACGACATCGTTGCTTATTTAGAAGTCGCTGTCGAAGCCTTCCTGAAAAGCTTCTGCGCAATGTACCCTGACGTTGGACTAATCCCCAAAATGCACTACATTGTCCATTATGCGCGGATGACTGAAGGGCTTGGGCCACTTCGCCAGTTTTGGTGCCTTCGTTTTGAGGCTAAACACCAATATTTTAAAAGCTTGGCAACGAAGGTTAAGAATTTCCGCAACATCTGCCAAACTCTGGCGTCCAGGCATCAGCTGCTGCAGGCGTACCAGATGACGTCTGCTCGTAAAGAGCCCCGCATTGTGTGTGCAACTGAAGTAAGTGTGCAAGACTTGCCGGTATGCGCGCAGAGCCTGGCTGAGGAGGGCACTGTACTGAGAGCAAGCAGTGTCTCGCTGGACTCCGGCTCCTACAAAGTGGAGGACGTTCTCGTGATGCAGAAGGCTGAACCGCCAATCTTTGCGCGGGTGGCGGAGATTTACGCAACAGCAGAAAGAGTCGCTCTTGTTTTGGAGATGTTGAGGGTCCAAGAGTTTTGTAGCCATTCCCATTCGTTTAAGGTTTCTAAAACAGACTTGTTCGAACTCTCTGAACCTGGGATGGAGGCCTCATGGCAGCGACTAGACATGTATCTTGGAACGTATCTGTCCCCGCGGTGCGAAGTTTTATTTTAGGTATCCATTGTCTAATCGAGGACCACTTTTTTGTATATGCATCTGCGTTGGAGTATGTATTGAGTGCTTGTATAGGGTGGCAAATAAATAAACCTGTGTACTTTTTCACATTGTCTATTATACTTGTGCAACATTAAAAGACGGTCGTGATAACGCGTGCTTGCGCTGGCTCCCCTCAGCGGAAACAAAAATGTATGTAAAAAGTTCGAATAGAGGACATTAGGGGTTCAGACTTCCTTTAATACTATGAATGAAATATGTCGATACCATCGAAAAAAGAACGAGTTCCAACAAATGTTTCAATAATCGGTTCTGGCGTTGCAAACAAAAAAAAAAAAAAAAAAAAAAAAAAAAAAAAATTCCTCTTTTATGCTGTAATAGGAATTTTCAAAACATTGTTGTTTCTAACCTTGACATCACTAGATTATCCTTCACCAACTCGCCTAAGACGTAGAGGTCCCAGGACTCACAAATAAAATAAACAAAGGCGCTACCACCTCTATAAAAACGCTTTTCCCGTGCAAGGATGTGGAGGAAGTCGGAGGAAAGGTGGTAGCGCCATCTTTCGTCAGAGCGCGAAATCTTTCGGGACAGTTGAAGGGTCACGCCACCTGTGGGCATACATTTGAAGCTCGTCGGGAATTACAGAATGGAGGAGACAAGCCAACCAATGGGGAGCCGCCGTCCCTCTTGCCTCATTGTTGGCGTGACGGGAGTCGACAAGGGTTCTTGTCTAGCACCGCTCTCCTCTCTGGCCCAGCTCTTTCCCTCATAATGAGAGAGGAGGTTCGCCAGGTAGGGGTGCTGTTCTTCGTGAGGGGTGTTGAGGACCGGTGCGACTCCCTTCGACTCCCTTTTTTTTTAGAGTGTGCGAGCCAAACTACGACCGAACGAACTTACTTGTGTCACAAAAACATTACGTAATCACGTGACTTATTTGATCACGTAAAGTCACGTTACCGCGTAACCTAACATGGAAAACTTACGTTATCAGATAGCTTAATGTGATAACGTAGCTTGCGCTAGCTATAGTGAACTGTAGAAGCAGACAGCGGGCAAGCGTGGCTTGCTTTTCTCTTTTGGGTTTTGGCACCCCTAGCAGCAAATATATGAAGTAGGCGCGACGACGATAAAGAAACCATTGGGTAGGCATGTTCAGTATCAAGGAGGCTATGCATTTACTCACGGAGACATCCTTCCCGATGGGCTATGTCATCCTTCTCAATGTGCTGAGTCATCATCTTAATTTGTTAAGTCAGCCGCTGAGTGGTCACGAAAAACGTGTTGGTACCTTTTGTGTCGCAGACGTGTTTTCGCTCACGGACTTTGAAGGTCGACTGAACGATGCGACATATATGGCTTTCGCCTCAAAAATGGCACAGGCGCGTGATCTTCTCCTTATTGATCCTTTTGTATGTAAAGAACTTCCGGATTACACGCGTCATATTTTTGGGCTGTGTACCCAAGTCTTTGCTCAATCAGACGGTGGCTTATTGCGGAGGAAAGGCCCTCTGACCGTCAAAAGATCCCCAGGGCCAATTTGCTCGAAGCTTTAACCGCTGCTAAAGTTAGTCTCAGTACCTAGGAGAGGGATTTTGAAATCACGTGACTGGCTCGTAGGGATGCGGGGAAACTTGGCGGTGCCCCGGCGAGTGAGCGCCGCTCGCTTTAAAACGAATATGCCGTTGTAGCTGCAATATCGGGCGCGTTCGTCAGCAACCAATGGTGCACGAGGTTTTCGCTTTGCCTTAAAAACTGAAATCGCAAAGCATGAACAATTACCTCGCCGCATTTTTAGATAGTCTTTTGATTCTGGCCATCACTAAGCTTAAATGAACGCGATAATTGTCGGCATTGCAACGTCTTTGGAAAGTGGATCACCTTGCACGTGCTGGCGTCTGCACTCGTAATTTTTCTAAAGCAAAAACGTCTAAAACAAAGTTTGCCTTGCGCGCGCTTTCGTCAAAGCCTTATTATGATATTTGCTTCGAATCTCTTATAAGTGGAAGGCCAGCGCGTGCGGACCGTAGAATTACACTTCCAGCGTTCTCGATGCTTGGGTAATTTAGAAAAAAGTTATATTGGGACGCTGTCCGCTTTTGTGGGCTATCAATACCCGGCCGATTGAGTCAAGACAATCCGCTCTCCGAAGACGTTGCCATGCCAACATTTATTGCGTTCATTTAGGCTAAGGAATGGCCAGAACCGAAAGACTATTTAAAAAGTGGGGCGTGGTCATGGCTCATTCTTTGCGATTCAAGTTTTTAAGTCAAAGCGAAGTGTGTGTTACTCTAACAATACCATTGGCTTAATAGTGGAAGCATGTTGGAATAGGCGGGTTTGGGCGTGTTCGTTTTATCTCAACAAGTTGAAATTGCTCGAGCGCGTGTAAATTTTATGTTATTTCTTCAAAACGAGATTCAGGTGTTTTTCTGCAAAGTAAACAAGACAATAACAAGGTACAGAGCTTAATGGCGAAGTTTTGCTACCTCACTGTGCATAATAAGGAGTCGCCAGCGATATGGGCTCATCAGGACCGCCAACTGGAAAAAAAAGAAAAACGATGTCCGGTTTATAGAGTCAATATAATAGATCATCATGTTGACTCTATAATCTTGACAGCCGCAATAAGAGCACGGATGCCTCCTACACGGCGCCAACGCACTGATATCTGATGACGATGTTGGTCTTGATTCAGAGTCTAGCCGGATTGTCTAGCCAGATGTTCGTCTTGATTTGGAGCGTAGCCCATTTTTTTCCGCATTTAATTTATTATCGTCTCTTTTTAATTATGACATTAGGCTCCAAGCTGATTTCGGAGCTTCGTGTCTGTTAGTCCCGCTTCGCCCTCTTGCTGTAGGGTTATGATGTCTAAGCAATCTACACTACCTTTTTATTTGGAAACCCGGATAGCAAATACCAGCAGAAACGAACAAAAGAATTCGAGAGAGAGAAGTATGCAGGGAAGGGGTCGCGCCGACGGCCTCGGAACGGCTTCCCCTCTGATTTTCCCCACGCCGTCACTAATCGTTCCAAATCTCTCCTTTGTGAGTGAAGAGGACTCGGCGACCTTGACGGAGCATCCGAGGAGGACACTGCGCATTCCTAAGCTGACAGTGCCGGGGAAGCTACGCGCCGGCCGGACCAGTCATCACCTGCACCGCTCTCTGCGCGTGGTTACGGGGAAGAGGGTGATCACGTGATTAAAAATAGATCTGCGATTAGTTCATCGAGCTTCTTAGCTTCCTTTGCACTCTCAGCTTGGGGGTGATGGAGTCGAGACCGCGAAACACCCGCACAGAAAGTGGGATCGCGTGCATCAAGGCCACACGATAAGGTAGCGACTGGAAGGCGGTGGGGACGGTCTCCTTAATTTTCAACACGCGCATGCGGGAACTGCAAGTTGGCAGACGCGCTACGCAATTTATGCATGCTTTCTTTTTGTTTTTTTTGTGGCAGAAATAGCTCTTTTTTCTAAGGCACAAAAACGGTAAGCTAAACATGCGGATATCAGGACACCGTGGTGTCCGTTTCTAAGTTGTCTGAGTGCATTTGATTACTTAGCAGACTGTTTTTATCAGGCGAGGTGGCTCGGCATCTCCACCATGGTTCTAGAGTTCCGATCACCAGCAGCGCAATTTGTCTTAGTGCCGAGAGCGACTTCAACATGCAGATTGCCAGGACCATGGATATTCTTTCGACTGCGCCTGCACATCGGTGGTCTTCCTTCGTTTTAGACATACGTGTGACCGCTAGCTTCGACGGACCGAAGACACGACGGACCGCTCTCTATTCCATGTGAGTGACAAGGAGAGGTCCTCCTGACCATGGGGAATCATAGGTATTCTTGCTACGCAATGTACGTTTCGTCACTATCCGATGAGTTTTAAACGTGTCGAACTCTGCGCAAGGATTCTTCGAGGAGTTTAGCGTGTAATTCACAGCGATCGGCCCGAAAGGCCCTGTACAGCGCTATTTGTAAGTGCTTTTTATTCTAGTAGACCTTGAGAGACATTCTGATTGGTTATTTTTGTGCTCGAAGTCATTTTTATTTCATATATCTTGTTAAAATGTGGCTGTCGTCTTGGCGGTAGATGTGTGCTGTAGTAAAAAGGCCTGCCGGTAGGTCCAAAGCCGAATACCACAGAGCGTTGTGTAGTCCTTATTTGCCAAGGTTCGGCTTGTTGGGGTGCGAGTGGAGTGTCGGTTATGTCACCGCGCTCTGCGAGTGTAATTTCCAATAATTGTCTTCACAAAATAAGCTATTTTATGTGCGCGATTTTTTTTAAATTCTTGATTGATTCAAGCATCCAGTTCTGTTCAACTGTCAGGTTCTTACGTTTAACGGGGTAATTATTGAACCCTTAATTTAGTAGTGCGTTTGACACTGGTGAGCTAAAGAGGGTATCAGAGGTTGGATTTATAAATTGTAAATATTATGGAGGCAATTTTTGTATATCTATAAGTACATATTTCCGTGCGGCAAAAGCCGTATATCTTAAAAACGTTTTTTTTTTTTTTCAAGTTAACGTAGAAATATTGGTGTGAACTTAAATAGCAAGATTGTAGTTCCTAAGGCTTCTTAAAGATAGATGCAAGGTTAAGGGACGCCATGACATTACAAGAGCAGAGCTAAGCAATTTATGAAACAACCTTCGTACTATTTGATTAGTTTCTTGAATCACTAGGAATATTTTAATCTAAATCGATCGAGCTCTGAGTAAGGACAATTCGGACGACCTAAATAATTGAAAACGCCTGGGCCGTCTTGCTAGAAACAGCGTCTCAGCTGAGACGGGGGAAAAGAAAGCACTGTCAAAGCCAGCGTACAAGCTGACCTGGACTCAAGCCTCGACTAAAGACGCTCGCGCGTCCCAGCCTTTACAGCGCTTTCTTTCACCCAGTCTCAGCTGAGACATTGATTCTAGCAAGCCGGTCCCGGTGTCTTACCTGCGCATCTGTTTATTTTAGAAGGCAGTACTCAGCTTTTTACTTACCAA